TCTCCTTTTTCAGCAAGAGCCAGAGTCCTGGCTGCCTGAACTGTGAGGGCAGAGGCCCAGCAGCAAAGGGCTATGGTACAAGCCCTTTGGCAAAATCAGGGTCCTGGAGTGTGGAGAACACGCTGGTCACAGGGAACAAGGGGACACAAAAGGTCTCTTTATACTATTTCATTTTTACTTTCTGGCATCTGAACCATCAACAAGCAGGAAGTGCTGAAAGGCTCCTGTGAGTCTGTGATGTAGAATCAAACTCCTACAATGCTGGCAGAAGGGCCCAAACCAGCCCCAAGAACGGTGCTGTGGCCACTGTGATCAAGACTCAGGACACACCTGGAGCCTTTCAGCCTGACTGCTGAACACAGGGGGTACGCAGGCTGTGCCTTCTGCCTCTGTGACTGCACTTAGCTTGCAGGTCCTGATGCACATCTCAGTGGGAGAGACCCTGGGAAATAATCTGGCCTGTTTCCTGCAAAGCACCTCTAGTTGTGCACAGACAGCTAACACTCACCACCTGCTGCTGATGTTGTCCTGGGACTTGCAGAGCAATGTCGAGGAACTAGCTCCTCTTTGGTCTGGCGGGCTGATCTCCTCGACATGAGGCAGGGAGGGATGAGAAGGGGAGAAGCTGCTTTGAGGGGAGGACGGGGTCCGACGTGCTGAGCCCTGCAGGCTGCTGGCATCCGTGTCAGTCACACAGCTGCCGCCTTGCCGGGTAGGAGTCCCTGTGCACCGCACTGAGTCACCACCCTCCTTGGCTTCTTGTTTCCGCTTGCGGTATTCCAGCAGAGAGACCTAGGAGAGACGCAGCCGTGAGCCTGGGAAACAAAGAAACCAGCTACCCGGCAGGCCCCTGATGGTGCATTCCCCTGACCCCTCAGACGCTGTCCCAGAAGCACTGACTAACTATGCAAATACACATCGCTTGGCTGCTGAGGCCTGCAGGACATAGGCTGTTGAGCTGGTAGCACAGTGCCCCACAGAAAACAAGTGATGATTTGCAAGGGACCTCAAAGCACTTTGCAAGCATGAGTGAAGCCAGCAGGAAAAGCCCTGGTCTACGTGAGAGGACAGAGGCAGAGACTGAATGACTTATGCAGAAGTCACACAGCAAGTGCATCCCAGAGCAGGAAATAAGCCCCACGAGGCAGAACGCATGGATGCTGGAAGGAGTAACAGAAATTACTTTCGTGCAAAAGATGTAACTGCTGAAAGAGCCACTGCTGTGGCTTGGCAGATGTGTACAGGCATGCTCCATCAATAAACGTTCTGAAAAAAAAACAAAGTGCCACCCAGCTAGGTATGCCCCTTTCACTTCATTCCAACTGTGTCAGATGCAGACCCATGTGGTTGTTAACCTACCACCCAGAGAAGCATTTGGTGGTAACACTGACTAGTGTGGATCTGAGCACCCTAAGACCACACAATGGGGTTGTCATCCCTTCCCTGGGAAGACCATTCGATTTCAACATCAACAAGCGTCCCAGAGAAGCAGCCTACACCTCTCTGAACACTGTCCCATGGCTGCTGGCTCTGGCCCAGCTCCTCCCTCTCTGCTCAGTAACTCTGGCTCCTGTTTCCCCTCTCCAGCCATCCCTGTGTGGCTGTGATCCAGTTTGATCACCACTAGCCAAGCTGTCACTGTTCTGTTATTTTATCACAGAGGGGGGCTTTCCTCTCTCCTTGCTCCAGGGCCATGACCATGTCATTGGGCCTACCTGCAGCTCATTAAAAAAACCCTCACCTAATTTTCTACCCCCTCCCCTAGGGCCTTTTCACCTTTTCTCCCCAGTTCGTCGCACTTAGTCGAACTCTGTCTGCCGATCTGCTCTCTCAGCCCTTCTGGCCTGTTTTTTTTTTTGCCTTCACTGGTATATACTACTTCTCTCAATGCCTGTTGCCTGCAGATACAGTCAGCAGGGGGTACTTGCCTTTTTCCTTTGTGGGGGGTTCTGTGGGGCAGATCTGACTCCTTCGCAAGCCTTCTCACCACAGGGAGACACAGATCCATGCACCATTTCTTTAAGCAGCCCAGGCTCGTGTCTGCTGAAGTATCCATCCGCAGGAGAGCTGCAGCAACCCGCTTCTGAACCGGAAGGCTTTTTCTCCCCGACCTGAGCAGACCCCCGCAACAAACTGTCTACACGGGGCATCGCGTTCAAGGGTGAGAAGGCATACATTAAGTTAAACTCTGTCCGAAAAGCCTGATCTGAGCTCCGTAGCAGCAGCTGTGCTTCTCCGCTCTTCCCAGCGAAGCTGGTCTCTGAAGCGGAGCTGATGGAGGCCTGTGAAGCCAGATCAGAGTGCCCAGAGCTGAGCAGCGACGACCTTTCTGGGCAGGCGTTTGCACTGGCATCCAGGTATCCGCCCTTTGCCAAATCCATGTCCGTTCGAAGGCAGAGCTAGCAAATCCAATGAGAACAGAGGGGTGAAGGGGAGGGGGAATCGGGGACACAGGCAGACAGGTGGGAGAGAAAAAGGTCAAGTCCGGAAGCACTTGATGCAATGACAACACTGCTTTCAGCTCCTCCCCTGCCCCAGCCCTTCCCTGCACTGCTCTGAAGTCTTTCTAGATGTACCCGGCTGGGAATCGAGGATCAGAGGCTAATTCAAAGCTGTCCAGTCTGCAAAACCCTTTCCCTTCAACTGCTCTCTCTGTAAATGGAGCGATGACCCTAGCACTCATCCCCAGGCACTTGCTGAAGAAGCGTAGCTGATATCTTCAATTTGCCTGTGCCCTTCGGCACTGCTGGGAAGACGCAGTGCTATCTGCCAGCGCCATTGCGGAAAGGACAGCCTGGGTCATGGGCCCTGATGACTCGCTGGCTGCCCCATCAGCCACCTCTCTGCTGTCCCAATCCCTCCCCAGCTACGCACTGCCTAGGAATGCCATGCTCTCTTCCTCCTACTTGCTCTACGCTGGCCCACAGCAAGATCTGGCCTCCGAGGCCCCTTCACTCCATTCACAGCATCCGGCAGTCCCTTCCTCCAGGACAACACCCCCACCCCCTGCCCCAGTGCATCCCTTCTGAGGAACCTCCTGGCCAGACACTTGACTGCATCCCCTCTGCCACGCTGCAGGGCTCAGGAAAGACGACATGCAGCTGTGTCCTTCCTCCTGCATCACAGCCCCAAGCACTCACAGCTTCCTGGAACCTGCTTTTTGAGGGCGTGGGTGCACCGCTGTGCTGTGTCTGAGCACCAGCTGGGCTCCAGCACTAGGGAACCCCCTGCTGCCGCTAGACCTGCAGGAGGGGCCACGGCTGCTTCCCCTCCTCTGGCCCTTTGACTGCTAGGCAGTCACCTGGACTGCCTTTCCCTGGGACTGTACATGCACCAGTTCATGCTGAACAGAGCAGGTCAAGAATGGCACCACATGCTCAGAAGCTGGTCAAAACCAGCCATGAAAATACAGAAGGCTCTACAAAGTTCCCATTGCTCCAGGGACCTTCAGTTCAAGCCTGTGAGGGGACCCTCCCATTCCAGCACCCACACTGCTCCTTTATTGCCAGGGGCGAAGGTACTACACAAACCACATCTGTGGTGTGGAGACTGAGGCTGACTGTGGTGTTTGTGGGGCCAGCCCTTTGCCCTGGACCTCAATAACTGAGACAATAATTCTTCACACTGCCTCCCTCCCCACACCTGCAGGATGGTCTATGCATGCCTGCTCCTCAAGCCATTCCAGCTGGCTGCCTGTTGTCTCCAATAACCCTGCTGTCTCTCCTCAGCTTTGCTCTGACTCGTGCCCCATCTGGCCCACTCCCATCCTCTCACTCTCCTTCACAGACCCCTCACCCTCCTTCCACCCTCCCTTGTGCACGCACACACACACGCAGCCGTGAGCATGATTGAGATGGTGTGATAACTACCTCTGGTGACAGGGACTCGGGCCTATGCGCAGGGGAACTCTCAGGGGAGGATACGTTCTAGAGGAGGGAAAAGCATCTTGTTATTCATCTACTTAAAAAGTCAAGAAGCAAAATAAAATAAAAATAAAGCACAGAGGTTAGCCACAGCTATTCTACATGAAGGCTGCCCCAAGGGACCTGCCCAGGGATTAGAGGGCAACTCAGTGGGTTAAGGAGTTTCTAAATCTTCCTGGAAGCAAAGACAGGATGGGGTTATCATGTTCCATGCCACAACTTAGTATCCAAACCAGAGAAGAGAAGAGATGTTAGACAGAGAAGTATCTGCTTCCTTATATTCCCACTGATGCTGCCAAGGGGGTTGGCACCAGGAAATATAAAGCAATCCATGTATGCCTTTAGTCCAATGACATGAGGAGGCTGGTGTGCAAGGTTTGATCCTGCCTGAGCCAAAGGCGACTGAAATGAGATTCCACACTGGAGGAAAACAAAGACAGTGCCTTCAATCACTCCAAGCTTCCTCTTCGGTACGGTCAGGTGCCAACTGGGTGAGACAACTGCCAGGATTGCCACTGCATGCAAACGAAGGACAGCAGGCTACCTAATGCAAGGACATTACAGAGCACCCCTGCAATAAGGGCAGAGAGAGGGAGGCTCTCTCAGGTGTCGGGCACCACCAGGGACATAGGGAAAGGCTGGCCCGACCCTTGCAACCAGGAATACTCTACCAAGTGCTCTCACCTTCCCTGGAAATCTTCAAGAGGAGACTGGACAGGCACCTGGCTGGGGTCTTATGACCCCTGCCACCCCCAGCGCTCCTTCCTGCCCATGGCAGGGGGTCGGACTCGACGATCTGTCGAGGTCCCTTCCCACTCATGATTCTGTGATTCTATGAAGTGGTGTGAACTGAGAACTCGCTGGCCAGCTAAGACAACGTGATGGGTGGGTTCCATGGGGACAGAGCACGTGCAGGTCCCCACTCTCAAAGTCCCTATTCCAATGAAGCCCAGAGAGGCATACTTCTGGGCCCGGGGTGGGCAAATATTTCGGGCGGAAGGCCACTTAGTTCTAGCAAGCCAGAGGGCTGCGTGACAGGCAGCCAGGGCAGATAAATATTAATTTTCTTAATCTTTTAGTGGCCCCGTGGGCCAGAGAGAATGGCCTGGTGGGCCACATCCAGCCCGCGGGCCGCATTTTGCCCACCCCTGTTCTAGGCTCAACTGGTCTAGAGTTAACTCAGCCTCTTGCCTCTGAGCACCTGACCTGCTAGTGGCTTCTGGAGTTTGTGGGACAAGTTCCCCAGAGGAGCAGCTGTAGCTGACTGATTCAGAAAGTAGCTCTGCAAAAGTGGCACTTTTATCCTAACTCTTCAGGACTCACACCAGGGTTTAAAAAAGGCACCTGACTCCCCCCAGGCCAATGGCTCATCATCACCATCAGCTCTCTCACAAGGAACCTGTCCCACCGATAACAGATTGAAGACCTGCCTGCAGCTCTCTTCCCCTGGAAGCTGTGGTCATGGGACTGAAGCATGCAATCTGTATACATGGCAAGAAGCATTCTCTCAAATTAGAAGTGGTGACACGAAGTGTTATAAAGGAGCAGCACTGGGTGGGCCTTAGAAGCCCGAACATAGACGACTGTGGTCTACAAAGCTGCTAGGCTCCTATCCCAGAGGGAAGGAGGCTGCCTGGGAAGGCGGAAGGTTTCTATCTCTGTGGGCACACTTCTGCTGCACACTGCACCAGGAAGAGACAACAGCACTGAACATGAGACTGGAAGTCTGTAGCTAGACTCCCAGTGCCTGGCACTCACCCTCAACTTCCACCTCAAAGCACAGCAGAGCCCAGGAGCAGTTTCCAGCTCCAGCTCCATTCCTGAATCGCTTCCAGCCCCCTCTGCAGTGCTCAACAAGGCTTGAGTCACAACGCTAAGTTGTGCAACACCCCCTCCACAACAGCTCCCAAGAAAGAGCTCTCAAAGTGAAAATGCAAGCACTAAGCTACACAACTTCAGCAATGGAGGCTGCCTGCACTGCTGCTGGGCAGAGCAGGGATCTCTGCAGAGCAGTCTCACACCAGTGGACAGGTGGGCATTCACTGCACTGAGTGCTTCTGGGTGGGCTTGGAGGCGCATGCTGGAGGCAGCAGCAGGTTTGGGGAGTCCCACTGCTGAAGGAGAAGCAATACTGGAAAGACAGAACTCCAAAGCCCCGGCACCTCCTGCACTACTGCTGGTCATGGCCAGGGGTGGAGCGTGACATAGTAGACGAGGAAGCTCCAGACAGGATGGGCGCTTATCCTGCTGGGCTCTAACACCTCTTACAATTCTGCAGACAGAAGCCACCACAAAAATCAAAAGGTATGTATATGTATCGAGTGGGGAAATACAAAGGGACCCTCAGCGCTGGGTACAGAGAACTATACAGGCAGTCCCGGGGCTGCTGGGACCTGAATCTCTAATACCCCCGGGCCTGGGTAAGTGTATGGTACATGCAGAAGGGAGGGAGGAGGGGATGCCTGACGCTCACCGGGAGCTTGGGGGTGTGGATTCTCACAAGGCAGGGAGGGAAACCATGGTGTTTCAGAAGGCTGCAATGGGAAAGGGGTTGCAGCTGGACAGGATGCAGGGTGAGTGGGTGGTCTCTGGAGAACCTGACAGCTGCCACGCTGTGTCCAGAGAAAAAGGGAGCAGAAACCAAGGTGTTGTCCTGGGAGAGTGAGGGGCTGCTGCACAGCAGAGGGACGAGAGAAGGAGCCCACACATCTCTGACAGCTTCCAGGAGCAAGAGTGGCTACAGCCACAGGTGGAACAGAGGATAAAGGCACCAGCTGCCCTGCAGTGGGGCACTGGGAGTCTTAGCTAGGAATCCAACCACAGGCGTGAGGGCAGGAGTCCCCAGCGCAGCTCCAGGTACACATGCTCATGTCCACCCCCTTCCTGAGTGGGCGGACCTCTACTCAGACTTACCTCAAACTGTAGTGGAGTATTGCAGCGACTCGCAGCCAGGGAGGGAATGGGCGAGAACATCACGCCATAACCATTGCGACATTCCTCCTCTCCCGGCACGGACGAGCAGGGTGTGGGAAGCTGTGGGCTCATGGAGCCAGGAACGGAAGGGACAGGAGACAGAGGCCTCAGCAACTTGGTAACGTTCTGCTCCATCAGATAGCGGGACTTCCACTTCTTCAGGGGGCTCAGCAAGTCTGCAGAACATGAACTGCATGGAGGATCGTGCTGCACTGCCACTCTCCCTGCCCCTCACCCTGGCGGCAGCCCGCCCATTCCAGACCCCTATGGCTGAGGAGGCACCAGCACCCACGCTCCAGCCCCAGAAGAGGTGGTGCTACGCAAGTCTGCGTGTCAGTCACGAAGGGAGACTAACAGTCCAAGTGCTAGAAGTGGAATGTGGGAAAGGTCAAAGCTCACTGGGGGAAGGAGCCAGAGAGGCTGGAACAAGGAGAGAGGTTGCCTCTGAGGGCCTCCACCTGACAAAAGACAAGAAAAAATCTACTCTGGCACGTCACAGATGCACCACGGTGCAGCTCAGTTCTCCCCAGCTGATCTCAGCAGCCCGGATAAAATACAGCCCCAGGAGCGCTCATTCCCACTGAGAAAGACCCTGGCCCCCTCACACTGCTCCGAGGTGCAGGGCCTCTTCGTTTACTCCACTGCTTGTGAGCTTCTCAGGGCACAGAGCCAGGCTGCACTTTTCTGGGAAGTGCCCAGAAGCCTTTGGGGGTTTAAGACCAACGTGGCGAAGGCAGAAGCAAGCTGCGCAGCTGTGATGCTGCTGGAACTGCACGGCTCCTCAAGCAGCGGGCCAGGGAAGGTTTCGGCCAGCTCAGCACCACCTCCCACCACAGCCTCCATCCCCTCCCCCCCGCAACAGCATGCTATGCCCACCCCGCAGCCCCAGCCTGGGCAACTTCTCTGCCTTGCACGTGCTGCCTTGCTGGCTCTGCTGTACCCAGCCTCTGCTCCCACGCATCTCCCGAGGAGCCTCCCACTGGCCCCCAGCTCCCCCATGCTCTGCACCTCTCCGGTGTCCACTCTCTTTGCAGGCTTTTGAGCTCCTTCCCGGCTGGAACAGGTCCTGACCTGGCGACTGCGAGTCTCCTGTTCCGGGAGAACCCCCAGGCCTTCCCTTCCTTTAGGGCCAGGCTCTCGCACAGGTGTTCAGGCTGCCAGTTCTGCTGCTTCCTCACCTCAGGCCCCAGTGCACCAGGCTCAGTGCAGGCAGCCTGTTACACCGGGCACCACTGACCTTCTTTCCCACTGTGACCCAGTGACCCCTCCCCCTCTGCCTCCCTTTGCAAACCGCCTGCGTGCCCCTCGCTCCTCACACTGTCCCATGCAAGGGTCACCTATACACTCAGCCCCTCGGCCAGTTCAGCGCCAACACAAATGAAGACTCTGATCCACTGGACACTGCTCCCAACCCCTTTGCCCCTGGGGACAGACTACAGCTGCACTGCCCTCCATTTTCTGCTCCCAGCTTCCTACTTCCCCTCCCCTGAGCTCAAACGACAGCCATTCGCCTGCACCACCAAATCCTGTCAACCTCAACCTACACCATCTCCAAACAGCAAGTCCCTCTCCTCATGTTCCAGCCACTTCACAAGGGAACTTCCACACACTCCCTTGCCAGCTGGCTCCACAGGGCCTCAGCTACCAGGCCTGAGAGAGAGGAATGCCAGTCTTGGGGAAATCCTAGGGACTGGCCTCTCCCAGGTTGCTGGTCTTGTGACTTTTGTGAAGGGATGCTGTTACGTTTGACCTTTCCCAAGTCTCAGACTCTGATGCCAAACAATTCACTCGGCTTTGCCCTTTAGAATTTCCCTAATGGTCTTGCTCACCCCTTTCAGGTCTTGCTCAGGGATGTGCATTATTCAGAATCTCCTGCTTTGTTCACATTAAATGCATCTAACCTTTTAATAACCAACTCTGTTGTTAATTGTACACTGTCTAACTGCTCGTCTGTCGTCCTTGGAAAACTGATTCCTGACTTGGGCAGATCTCCGCCCTCTTCCTCTGTAAAGACAGATGCAAGTGAACTATTTAACAACTCTGCTATTGCTTTTCTCAGATTTAAATGCCAGTATTTTAGGTACCTGCTGCATAATTCTCTACTGACTGTTAATTCTCAGCACAGATTAGACTGTCCAGCTGCCACTCTAATGGCATCACGCTCAAAGGGATGGCCCTGTTCTCCTTGGCACTGTACTATACGACCCTGGTGATCGTTTTGCAAGGTTCAGTACCATCCCGCTGCCATAAGGTGTTGGGGCAGCGTAGGCAACCTCCAGCTAGAAGGGACCTGGGGAAATGGAAATGGACATGCAGCAGTGCAGCGTTTCTCACCAGCCACTGTCCTGGGCCAACACATGCTAGTGCATGGAGCAGGCTGCAAGCCTGCTGGGAAGGAGCTGCACCAGGCAGCTAGTCCAGATGCCGCCACCCAGCTGTAGACAAGCAAGGGGACTGCAAGCCTGCTGAGGAAAGCTGGCCGGCTGACATGGATAACTGGCTGGCCACAGGAAATAAGAGGCTCCCCAGGAAGGGAGGCTGGGGAGAGGAAGGAGAGAGGAGGTGCAGAAGGATGGACATGCACCACACCAGAGATGCCCCTCTCCCAGGGTCTGTAGAGGAAGGGGAAGACAGAGAGAGGAAGGCTGCAAGGCTGAGACCCGTGGCCTGGGACAGAGCACACTTTGGGCCTGAGGCCTGCAGAGGAGCCAGAAGCTGGTCTACATGTTCACTGCTGGGTTGCTGTGAAGAGAAGCCGCACTCGTTTCCCTGCACATGAAAGGCTGCGTGTTCTCTGGACACAAACCAAAGGGACATAAACAAAGGGCCTGGTTCAGATGAGGAAAAGGGCTCCTGCATCTGCCAGGGGCAGTACACCCTGCTACAGCACACACTTCCAAAGCCTTGCTTTCAATCCATGCATCAGCTAGCCTCACCAGCCTATGAGTTCACCACATGCTGGACACGTACCTGTGTTGTCCTTGCAGATGCTGGAAGAGTTGCTGCTCTCATTGCTTTGGTATAGACACTGGGTTCTGCTTTCTTGTGGAGCTGATGAGGTCTGAGTCATCCCTTCTTCCAGGGCTTGCTTCATCCAACGCTGCAACAGAACAAGACCATGTCATTATGCAGTCCCTCTGCTGCTTCACAGGAACTGCTGCAGGACTCGCACAGGAGCGCAGTCTCAGGCTCCATCTTCTTTTTGGGAAGAATGCTTGGTGTGATGGAGATGTGAAGGCTGAGCCCAAAGACTTATGAATGGCTTTGAAGAGGAATGCTCGATGAGACAGGTGCTAAAGGTTATAAACCTGTCTGCAATGGAAGGGTAAAGACATTTTTAAGAAGGTAGGAGGCACGAACCCAGCAGTTAGGGAGTTCTTAAGGTCAGGTTTTATTTGAAAAATTGAGCTAATGGAAGTGTAAGTATTTAGAATTTGCCTTAAAAATCTGCCTTCTGGACAAGGCCCTGCTTCACATATAGGAGGGGAATCCTGGCAATACAATGGGACAGAAAAAAGTGCTACCTTGACTGTCTTTGAGATGAAAACATCTGTCTCTTGGAGTAGCCAGAAATGTGCATTAGCAGAGTCTGAAAGAAATGGTTCTGTCACTTCAGTACTGTCAAGCTCTAGATGTATCCAGAGTTGTTCCTTCCCCAGCACAGAGTACCACTTCGGGAAGAGCACAGGGGACCTCACCCACTGCTACAAGTGTCGTTCTGAACTGCCCAGGGACGCAATTTTCTGGCAGGTCTTGGTACCAGATCTGTGTAGAATATGGTGTACTGCAGCTCCACCACGAGAGCCTGAAGCTTGCTTCTCTCCTGGCTAAGGAGATGGCTACTATTGTGAGAGCAAGAGCAGAAAGAGCATCCAACAGGGGCTCCTCATAAGCCAAAGGGGCGAGGCTGTGGTCCCACAACAGAGCCTGTATATCGAGGCTCTTCAGAAGTGTCGTGCCACCTGATAAGAATCATAGAAATTAAGGGCTGGAAGGGACCTCAAAAGATAGAGTCCAACCCTCCCGCTCTGGGCAAGAATACTGCTGAGATCAAATGATCCCAGCAAGGTGTCTGTCCAGTCTCCACTCGAAGACTTCCAAGGCTGGAGACTGCATCACCTCCCTGGGAAGTCTGCTCCAGATTCTGGTCACCCTCACCGTAAAGAAGTTGTTTCTTATATCCAGCCTGAAACCTTTCTCTAACAGTTTATCGCCATTGCTCCTTGTCCTCCCCTGGGGCACCCTAGTGAACGTTTTTTCTGCCAGCTCCTGACAGTCGCCCCTTACACACTTATAGATGGCCACTAAGTCCCACCTCAGTCTTTCCCTCCCCAGGATGAACAGTCCTAGATCCCTTGGTCTTTCCTCATAAGGTTTGTCCTCCAGCCCCTTAATCATTCGCGTGGTCCTTCAAACTAGAGAAGACTACTCTGACTACAGTGCTGGGTGACCTATTTAATGCTGCTAGATGGACCCACATTGAGCTACATTAAAGTCTAGAGAATTTTAGCTGCAGTTAATAGGCCCTAAGACCAAATGTGCTGCACTAGTTTGCCCTGTAGAACCCCAGGATAGAAGACCTGCCGTCTGCGACAGGAGGTCCTGAACCTGCAAGGGAGGAGCTCTCTTCCCACAGTTCACTGCGGCAGTCATTGCCTTGGTCAGCAGGGAGACAGGCAGGTAAGTCTGACCTGGCTTCTCCTGGCTCTGGCAGACACCATGGGTATTAGTGGGAACCCTGAGAAGGTGCATAAGAGGTTTCAGTTCCACTGCAGAAGAAAAGCAACCAGCCATGATCTCAAGTCTCACGGCCTCTCTGGAACACGGTCGTGGATATCCGCTGTCATTCTGGATGACAAGCAGGTCAAGCAGCAGAGCCCCCGCTGATGGGACGATGACCTACGGTTGGATTTCTACAGCAGCCACTTGTGCTCAGACAGACTGCTTGCTGAGAAAGTCCATCAAATGGCTGCTGACTCCTGGAGGGACAGAATGCAGCCCCTGGCCTCTCATGGGACTCCTGCAACACCGCACAGTGTGTGTGGGCTCCTGCACTAAAGTCTCTGAGTTCACACGCACCAGACAGGCTGGGCCTGGGACAGCAGCTTCACTGACATGTACACGAGGAGAACAGAAGAGCTGCTCTGCAGTAACAATGATTCTTTAAGAGGCTGCAGCTGGCACGCATCTGGCAGGAGGGCATGGGCACTAAGAATCAGAATCTTCTGAACCACCATGTCCACTGGGATAGGCACGTGCCCTGCCCTGCCCTGACAGATGCCAATCTCTCAGTCACAAGGCACGTGCACACCACACAGACACGTACTGAGAGCGTCCCCGTTGCCCAGACACGTAAACTGAGATACAGCAAGGAGCTTGCCTCAGGTCACTTTGCTGTTTTGGGAAACCTAGGAGAACTGCAGGTCTGCCTGGGCCCCAGCCCCCTGTGCAGGACAAGACGCACGAATCCGTCTGCTTGCTGTCTTTATAAACATTATCAGACTGGGTGGGAATTGAATTCCCTCTTTGGTGACAGAGAAGGCTTGGAGACCCATCACCAATGCACACGCAGCTGAGGACATGTTTGGATTCTCCAAGGGTGGGGCAGATGAGTGGAAAACAAGCAAAAGTAAACTGCTTCAGTGCTAAGGGGCCAGAGGAAAGGAACCAATGGAAAGAGGATACAGGTAACTGGTAAATGTTTAGCAAGAGAGAAGCAAACATATTAAGAGACAGGGCTGCAAAGTGGATGTGGCAGCCAAAAAACAAAACAAAACAAAAACAAAAACAACAAGGGGGGTTATGAAACTCTACCAAGCTACAAAGAAACGCTTGCAGGTGACTGGTCACCACTGCCAGCAGCAGTAAAAGCAAAAAAGAAATCGCCCCCACTACACCAAGGAATAAATACAAAGACAGATAGAGCCATCACTATTAGGAAGGCCTCCACTGGAAACAGAAATCAGTTATGGCAATGTAGGTAAGATGCAAGAATGTAACAGTTTGGAAGGAAGTTGCCTTGCAAGAACTTAAAGCATCTTTCAACAAACTGAAGAGCACTCAGACAGCAGGGCCAGGATGAAACCTCTTCAGATCTGCCGCACTGGAATGAAAACGCTGCCCTAGCTCTTCAGCTGAGTGCAAGCCAGCATCCACCCCAGACAGGTGTAAAATATGAAGCATCAGACGACTACCTAGAAAAGGGATCTGAGCAACTGTCACTGGTATGGATCACATTACCGTCAGTCCCAGGGAAACTCCTGGAGACAGTCTGAACAGAAGCTGCAATACTACCAACAGCAAGTCTCAAGTACAAGCCTCTTCCTGTACTGGATGGTATAGACAGAGAGTCCCTGTGAAACATACTGGAAATCTATGCATCTCCTCGTTAAATTACCAGATCTTCCAAAGTCAAGATGCCAAGTGTGCTATGATCTCCAGCCAGCACTGGACAGTTAAGTCATTCCCAACCAAGCAGGAGAGGATAGACCCAGGTAATTTTAGTGGTAACTTTAACAGAGTGCCCCAGAGAGGTAATGGCTGCTTTTCTAGGTGGCCTATCTGTGTGACAAGGGATTAACTGAAGACGGAAGCAGCGAGGTAAAACTTCTCTGAAGGACCCAAAGAGGGGGAACTCCCCACGGAAAGGACCAAAAAGCATGCGCTAAGTGCTGGTGCTGGCTTTTAAAGAGCACCAAGACTGGGAAAGCAGAGAGGACCCTCAGGGAGGCACTGAGATGCCCAGAGAGAGACAAAAATAAATCCCAAAGGAACTGGGGGATAAGCAGGGACAGATGGTTCTGCTAAGAGGGACTGCAAATGAGGTGCAATCTGCCAGTCTGTCTGAAGGTCCCTACCTGCTGCTGCTTCCCAGCTGACTAGCATACACAGCCTGGTTTCTCCTGCAGACATGCAGGGGTGGAGAATCATCCCTGGAGAGATGAGGTTGCCAACCCTCACAGTGGGCTCTGAATTCGTTCACTTGCTGCAGCCTGAGAGCCCAATCTCAGCTATATGGGAGATTCCAGCAGCAGCTCTCTCAAGGGACGGTGGCACTAAGGATGTGGAGGACATGTCCACTGCGCAGACTGTGCCACTCTTCCAACAAGGGCAGCAGAGGAGCTCGCCCCGTCCACAGTCACTAACTCAACTGGAACCATGCTGCTGGTCAACAGGCAGCTGCTGTAGCCCTGACCATGCACATCACCAATGCTGACAGACAGGACCAAGTCCCATTTCACAACCCCTTGCACGGGAGAGGCCTGCAGGCTTGTGGCAACTACTCTCAACACAGACTTAGATCCAACCCTTAGGGAAGGCCAGTCCACTAGAGCCATCTATCCAAGCCAGGGGCGGGCAATTATTTTGGGTGGAGGGCCACTCACTGAGTTTCCGAAAGCCATCGAGGGCTGCGTGACAGGCAGCCCAGGGTAGATTAATCTTAATTTTCTAAATTTTTTAGGGGCCCCACGGGCCAGATACAACAGCCTGGCGGGTCACATCTGGTCCCCGGGCCGCATTTTGCCCACCCCTGATCCAATCGGCTGACCAACACCCATCTTTCTCTGCTGGGGCATGGCCTGAAGTTACACTGAAGGATCAAACACCCACGCACTCCAGCTGCTGCGGAGCTGCCTGAGCCACCTGTTTCCCACTGCCATGGAGGGAGGTGGGGCCAGCTTGAGGTGCCAGGCCTTTCAGCTGGGCTGACACCTGAGCATCAGAGTGATATCTAAGCAGGCACCCTGGGACCGGACCCTCCACACCCTATTCCTGATCTAAGGGGTGGAACTGGCCGACTCCCACTGGAGCTCAGAGGCTCCAGAGACTAAGCTCCAGTGCGACAGAAGGGATGAGAGAACAATTCGCTGGTCAGAGTTGGAGAAACCAGGCTCCCTGCCCCCAGACTGCTTCCAGGGCAGCTTCTCACTGTGAGTGCATGCAAGGAAGAATGCTCTTCTCTGCTTCTCCTCAGCCCTGTGTCCTCCCTTCCTCCGCTCCCCCGTCCTGGGGACACCCCAGACACATTCAGCTTCATTCTCTGCTGCCACTCGGTTTTCTGGGAGAGGTGGAAACTGCCCACAAGGAGCCTAAGCACATGCACCATTGCACAGCAAGCCCCTCTCCTCAGCTCCATCAGCTTTGGCCTACGTGCCCATGCTCAGGGCAGGCCTGACTCATCCCAGGAAGACACCAACTAAACTGGACTGGACTCAGCAGGCCTGCAGGAGCACAGGAAAGGGGGCGCGTGCCAGAGGATCAAAGGAAGATGATGCAAGCACACGCACCTTTTTACAGGAACTGTACATCCCATCCAGCAGCAGAGGCCTTCGGCGTCTCTCGGGGTTGAAGGGGGAGCCAAAGCGGATGTAGTGTTTGGGGGTGGTACAAATCAGCGGGGAGTGGGAAAGACCAGGGAGCATGTTGAGGGTTGTTGCCAGAACCGTTGGGTCCGTGGTAATGCGCAGAGGGCACTCGATGGGGCACTCCTGCTTCTCCGCCTTGTCGTTCAGCCACTCTGTAACTAGATACTGAAGCAGAGAATAGTCCTGAGTATGGGGGGGGGGGCAGCAGGATGGGATAGGACAGGACGATGACAGAAGTAGCAGGACAGGTAGGCAAGGCGCTGTGTGGGGAAGCTGCCCTGGACAGTTCAGCTCAGCTCTGCGGCAAGTGCACAGGGGTGACGCACTGATATAGTCTCACCACAGACAACGCAGGCCTTGGGGAACAGGCTGGGAAATCTCTGAACAGGATGTGGCTTTTTCCCCAGACAAACCTGACACAATATTGACCTCCTACCCCCAACCCCCAGGTTCACCTCTCCCCTGCCACAGCTCTCTCCACAGCCTGCTCCCCTCCTGATCAGCTCACGCCGTCTCCTCAGAGACCCTGCCCTTCACCTCCAGGCCTTCACTCCTCTCCTCTGGCCCTTTCCTCTCAACACAAGCCTGATTCAGGTTCTTCCCACTGCAAAAGTCCCCGTTGACCCTGCTTTCCTTTCCCACTGCTGCTGCATCTCCCTGCCCCTCCTCTTTGAGCCTTGCTGAATCAGCTGCCTACAGCCTTGCCTGGAGCTCCTTTCTGCCAGCTCCATTTTAGACACTGACCCAGCTTCTGACCTCATGCTCCACTGCCCTTACTTAAGTTTTCAGTGGCTTCTCAGCCAAATCACAGGACTAGTACACCATCCTCACCTTGCCTCTGACAACTGACCACGGTCTTCTTCACGAAACGTTCTCCTCCAACCTGCCCTGGCCTCTGCGACTCCCCTCTTTCCTGGTTCTCCTCCTCACTCCACGGGGCTGTCCTTGGTCCCCTTCTCTTCTCCCCCTACACTCATCTCCCGGCAATCTCACTTGTAAATACACATTCATTTACCACTACCAGGCAGCGGACTCAGACCTCTGCTCCAGACCAGAATCCACATTGCACCTCTCGCATCTCATGGAGGAGCAGGTGTCTATCTGAGCTCGACAGGGCAAAAAGAGCCCCCGCTCCTCCATCCCCGCCCCCTCAATCCCTCTACACTGGCCATCACTTCCACCAGTTATTCAAGCCTGCGGCTCGGGACTCTTCCATCTGGACCTCTGCTGACGTGCTCCCATCCCAGCTACATTTAAGGCTTGGAGATTCTTTCTGCATAGCCACTCCGGCACAGCCTTTCCCGTCCTGCTGCATCACTAGAGCTTTCCTCCAGGCTTTCAGCATCTTGCCGACTACTGAAGCCTCCCTGGCCCTGGCCTTGACAAAAGCACCTTGGCAGCACCAGTTTGGAGGTATGCGGTTCTCAGCTCATTGCCCTTGCTCCACAGCCCCTCCCCCAGGCTCCCCCTTTTCTCTCTCTCTCCCCAAGGTGCTGCATGTACTTTTGAAGCACTTCACTGCCTGCCCCAACCCTACTTATCACTTTATCTAGCAATGAGGCATCTACTCCCTCCTGCCTTTGGCATCACGTAAACACGCCACTCAGCACTTTCCCCCCACGCTGCCCTCACGCTTGGGAAGCAGCTCCCTGTGAACACCCACAAAGCTGTCTCAGTGTCTTCCTTCAAATCCCTTCTTTGCTTTGATGCCTACAAAACCCTGACAGAGGCTGGGCTGCTGCTGTGTGCTGAGGGCACTGCCCATCCTGTGGACCCAAGCTGTCGCTGTTTTCTTGGGCTCCAGTCTGCATCGATCTTTCCGTATTCTTGTCTGATACTTCCATTATAAGCTCTCTGGGGAGGGGAACGTCTTTGTTCCGTGTTCGTACAACGCCCAGCACAGCAGGGCCCTAGGCCACGACTGGAGCTCCCAGCTGCAATGGTAATACAACCAAGAAGGATAATTCCGCGCATCAGATCAATTGCGAGTCTCCCAAACTCGCTTTCCATTTCCCAGTCCGCCTGAGGGGCCCTGCAGCACCCAGCCCCTGCCAGTGTAGGAGTCTGGCTCCCCATTTACCTTTTTAGTTTTGGGGTATTTCCCTGTGGCCCGGCTGGACTGAGCACCCACAGGCAGGATCACAGCTGGGTCAGGCCCCACCAGGTGCCTGTTTTCTCCTGGACCTTCTGTGGTGCTGACGTCTGCTGTGGTTAACAAGCTGACACTGCTTCCCTCTTCAGGAACAGCTTGGGAGAGCTCAGCTTGCTGGGAACTGGCCTGCTTCTGCCTTCTCAACCTTTGTGCCGAACTAGTCCGGTACCGGGAAAAGCGGCTTTTGGGACGAGGCCTGGAAGGTTTGGCTGGAGCTGGTTTAGTGACCAGCTTCTCTGGAACTGCATCCTACAACACGAACCTGCCATCAGTCGCAACACTTCTATGGCTCCTTCCCCCTCCCACCTTCTTTCTGCGCACACAAGTGAGGAACGATGGGGTTACACGCTGATGCCGATGAGGTGGTCCCTACTGGCACTAAGGCAGGGCAATGGCTCTGAGAATACCTAGGAAAGGCTGGAAAAAAATCACGTTTGTGCCTCAGTTGACTCCCCCCATCTGCAGGAAAGGGCACCTAGGGACTGACATAGCTAGGAGTGATCTCAGTCTCAGCCAGAGACACATCAGGAAAAAGCAACACAAGGCTTGCCTCCTTTTAGCAAGCAGCTGCCCAGCTGTGGGCTTTGTGGGCAGAGATCTAATCCCAGATGATGCCTCCGGCTCCCACATGGGAGACCTGCGGCCAATTGGCCAATGAGCAATTACAAGCAAATACTTTGTTGTTCCAGCTGGATGCCACTTCAATGCACTAAGACGGAGGTTTCCCGACAGCAGGTTGTAATGACGCATCTCGGGTCTTAGGTGGGCCGGCTCTAGCCCCCAGCCACTGCTGCTGTTGCTCCTTCTCTCTGTTGCCCAGCTGCAGAGCCACATGGGTAAAGCCCCGTGTCACCAAAACCCCCACTCCACGGGCCAGACCCAGCCCACGGACTATCTGAACTAAAGAAGGTGAAGCCCCATGCTCAGCTATGACCCCTTGAAAAGGCCTCAAGGGGCAGGGGTTGGTGGAAGCTACAGAACATCCATACCCTCCTCTTACCACTGCCTGGGCAGACCTCCGGGTGTTCACCCCAACACTGCTGCTGCTGTTGGAAATGTTTGGAGGGGCTGCACTCAACGCTGGGCTGCTGTCTTCAATTTCAGGAGTGTCTGTTTTTATTTCCTCCAGCTCAGAGGCCTCAGGATTAGCAGGAAGCTCTGTGTCTGTGCTGCTCCTGTCTGAGGGCTGCTCTCGCCTCCTCTTCCTCTTTTCCAAGTTTTCAAACATGTGCATGATGGCTTCCACTTTCCTCTCTTCCCGGGACTAAGGCACAAAAGAAAGGGTCAGATCAGCTCCGTGGGCAAGAACAGCATCCTCACACGTTTGCTCAGTGACCAGGGGCAGCAGGGTTGCTTGCCCACATTAGGCTACGTGGCACCTATGCTTATGGTTCAGAAATGTAACGCAAGAGTTATCAGGGACACACGTGCTGGTTTGAATAACTAAAGTGCACGAGATGGGGAAGACTCAGACTGAAGAGGCAAGGTAGAGAAAACAACAAGTGTCAGAGGCTGATGGAGAGACAAAGAGGAAAGGGCAAGTGATATTTGTGTCCCGAAGGAATGATGCCTGGACCAAGAAGACCTAAATAAAGTGAAGATACTTTGATTCCCAGAGGACAAGGGACTTATGCTGCAAAGAAAGACAAAGGCTGCTACTCCAAGGGGCAGACAAAGACATGAGTTAGCTGGAATTAGGTCAGCAGTGGAAGGCCAAAGCAAGGAGGGAGGGGGGAGATATTTATTAGACAGGTGGAAAAGAAAGTAAAAGCTCCATTGCTGAGTTGCCTTATTTTCACGTGCAAATGTTTCTGGTTCAGGAGCAGAAATGGAAGATGCATAAATGGAAGATAAATAAAAGGCAGGCGCACATGAGGTAGGCCCCGAAGGAGAAACAATATTTAAATAATATTGCCGGGGCAAGACACCCAGAGTCTTGCCCCTGCACTCAGGGTCAGACCGATCACCACATTTGTGGTCAGGAAGGAATTTTACCCCATGGTCAGACAGGTA